TATATATATGATAATGTGGTGCTTCCTGATAAAATGTCTTCCAGAATGCCCCTCAGGCATATACAGCAGTGCACAATGCTCCCAGATGTTGACTACATGTCTCAGGAAGTAAGAGGGGAAAAAACATACACTATTGAGTTAGCTGAAAAACTCATGTGATATCACGCAGTTCAAGTCAGCACTCTGGTGCCCATCGGGTAATCTTGAATTTCCTCTCTTTTCAGACTTTGGCGGCCCATGTCCCCTACTGTTACCTAAGATCTGGAGGAGGCCAGCCCCAAGAAAGGGCTGTTCTGTACTGGCTCCATAGCCCTCCTCCCCAGGCATCTGGGGCTGCTACAGCTGAAGGTAAGGCACTGAGCTAGATCAGCTGCTCTCAGCTGCCAGGTTCATGTGAACCTGCACTGGCTGTGAGCATGGACAACTGAGACATTGCTGCACTGTGCTCTGTCAAAGACATCAACCCCCATTTACAGTTTTGGCAAACAAGGCCCTGCTACAAAAAACCTATTAGCTAAAGGCACACAAGTAACTGGTTGATGAGGCTGAAGGCAGCTTTTGAGATCTGGGGCTGATTAGTAAAGGCACCCATCTCCTGGGATGCTTATGTTCCTCCAAAGCAATGACCAGGCATCATGGGTTTGGAAATCCCTAGAGAAGAGCAAGTCCACTGTTATCCATCACAGATCTTCTTTCTGATGATACCAGCAACAGAATAAAAGCTCATACAGGTTTTTGGGGGGTTTTTTGTGTTTTGGGTTTTGTTTGTTTGGTTGGTTTTTTGTTTGTCTTTTTGTGCATGGCCCAAATGGGGAAGAGGGGTAGTGAAAAAGAGTGCAGGAGAAACTTGCAGCAAGAAACAGTGTCTGGATCCTTTGCAGTTACTTCACTGGAAGAGAAAGAATCTGAATATGGAGCTGTTCCAAGGATCATACATCTCACTAGTAACACAGCATAGGCAACAAACACATATGTAGACTATGTTAGATTGACTTTGGACTGTCTTACTTATTAAAACATGCTCAAGTCTCACAGTTTCCTACAGGTCAAGTACACAGTTAAGTAAAGCACATAATTTGAAACCACTGAATAGGGTGGTTTCCTTATAAAGAAATTATCTGAGGATGTGGCATATAGACACATTTCCAAGTGGCAAGCCAGGTTTTGAATCTGGAGCACAGCAGTTCCTCAGCAGTAGTCCCATGTCTCTAGCCCATGACAAACACAAGGTAGTTTAAAGGGTCTTTCTCAAAGATTTCAATAGGCTATGGTGACACATGAAGCTTAACTCATTGTAACTTGCTTCTGTACTTTATCCTCACATTAAAACACCTACTGAGTCCACAGTTTCACAGTGCTCACACACAGTTGTAGTAAAACCAGCTCTTCAAGGAAGAAGCTGATGCCCTGCTTCTCAGGGTGGGCTGTTTCCACGCCAAGCCACAGCCTCAGTCATTTGGGCTTCACCTCCCCTCCAAACAAACCAAACCAAAACGTCTAAAGGATTTTTTACAACAGGAACAGTGAATTCCCCCAGCTTGCCCAATTCCCTTCTTTTAAGGACTGGCAGGCTCATTACACGTATTTAGGAAAAAGAGGGCGAGGAGATACACACATGATCCCATTTTGCTGCATGTTACTAGTGAGGGAAAATGGCAACTTCAAATGGAGCTTTAATTTCAAACACAGTAGTTTTCAAACTTAACTGCTGTCTTGAGGATAAAAGTGGGATGTCTGTAACAATTGTACTACAATGTGTATCTGGCTTTATACAGTAGCTCCGCAACAAGGAATCACAGATGGTTTGTGGTGATGGGAAGACCCTGCACTAAGGGCCTGCAGACTTACTGTACTTGCAGAATTCCACCTTAAAAGTAATTGGACATGTCTGTAACCCAGAGAAGGTTTGCTAAGCAATGACACATTGCACTTGGATCTGGAAGCATAACATCTGGAAGCCAAATGTTAGAGGCGATATAAAAGGGCCAGCCCAACAAACCAGTGGGGCATTTCTAAGCCAGGAACATCCTCAGGATGGACCTCGTCCTTCTCTGGGTATTCCTGCCTCTAGTGACGGTGGCATGGGGCCAGTATGGTGACTATTACTACGGCCCCTATAACTACGGAGATAATGATGAATGGGTTAATGTGTACCGTCAGGGTTTCAACTTCCAGTGCCCACATGGGCAGGTGATTGTGGCCGTCAGGAGTGTTTTCAGCAAGAAGGAAGGCTCCGACAGACTGTGGAACTACGCCTGCATGCCAGCAGCGCAGAGCCTCGGTGAGCCGACAGAGTGCTGGTGGGAAGAGATCAACAGGGCGGGAACTGAATGGTAGGATATCCCCAACCATCCCTGGAGGGCACAGCCCTGATACCCCCTGTGGAATGCGGGTGCTAATACTGCAGCCAGAGCAATGCAATCCTCTATTAATGCCATCATAACCAGTGGCTTTACTGCCCTGAACAACTGCCTGAGACTCGTTAATCATGATGCATGCATGTGAGGTGATCAGCATCACATTTGCCTTCTCTGTAGCAATTTCTTGCTGGAGGGTTTCAGTGTGCTTCAGCAATGCTGTGTTGCTTCATCACTCACAGCCTCAGCTGCAAAGTGGTTCGGACTTGCTGTTTCACAGATAAGGAAAGCTTTGGTCTTGTTTCACAGATAAGGAAAATGAGGCATGAACCTTCAATGAGGAGAGTATAAAGTCCCTCTTGAAAGGCTACACACCGAATCAGTGACTAAACTGGGGCACAAATTGTAAAACTCCTCACTCCAACCTCCTGTTCTTATCACTAGAAAAAAAAAATTATTCTCTGTGTTGCATTGGCTTTTCGCTTTGTGTTTTTGTTGCCTTTTTTTTTTTTTTTTTGTAAGCTTTTTGGCTTACACCCAGTCAAAGGCTGTTTTCTAGTCAAGCTGGTATTACAGGAGCCAAAAATCCACACACAAGAGCAATGATAAAAAAAAAATGATGCATTTATATGCATGATAATGGTAGCAGAAGATCATGTTAATTCCCTAATTCACTCAGTTTTGGTTAACTAGATGTTACATTTTCCAATAGCCTTAGAGGCAAAGGCGATCACATTTTACAGCCACAATAATTTCTGGAAATATGAATGGTGTTTAATGCTAGGCAGCACATACCCTGTGTTTAATTATCTTCTGACTTTTTCATGAAACGTGAAACACAGGAAAATTCAGAATTTGAAATACTCTTTGGATAGAATGAAATGACTACAAGAATATATTCAAATAGTTGAAATGGTTTTGCTTTAGAAATTGCAATGTGATTTTTGTAGATTTCATGTTATATGGGAACAGGTTAACAATGAAATGTGACGCTTCTGCTTTTTAAATGATTCAAAATTTTGTTCTGAATTATTCATACTCTTTCATTTACCACGTGATACATTCCTATGGCTGATGCAATTGCTAAGGAAAAAAAAGTATTGACCCTATACTTAATTTTGGAATAAGAACTGCAAAGAAAGGGGGAGGGCTGCAAAACAGGCAGAAAGAAGACACTGATAATACTGGATGGCTTCTTCATTTTTCATACATTGATGCAATTTCTATTTATTGCATCATAATTTTGAATTAGACCTTTCTATTGTTGAGAATAAAATTATTATTCTCTTTCTAAAAATCCCTGGCAGCAATTGCTTGAGTTCACTTCTCACAAACAGGATACTGTGTAAGTCTATACAGAATGTTTTCTTCTGCTATTCAACCATGGGGCCACATTCATCACCAGGCTCCGTACACTTAGCATGACTACATCCACAGGTTTATTATCTGATTCTCATTTCCTTCACCTCTTAAAAAACCCTTTCCACTTTGTCCTCTTTCTTGCCTACATTTTTTCCTATTGCCAACCCTATATTTTCTCCAAATGTTTTTCTCTTCCAACCCCACTTCAATGTGTTTAACTCTGTCTCATTCTCTTTCACAGATTTTAGAGTTATTTTAGTTATTTCTTTCCTAGCTCACCTTTCCAGTCCAACACCCTTACATCTATCTGTCTTCTCTGCATAGATCTCCTTCTGTCTTCCTTCGATCTTTTGGGGGGGGGGGGGCACGGGGGGTGAATATACAGAAGTGATTAGGGAACACGTACCCCTTTGCAAAGCTGATCTTGCGCTCCTAATTACTTTGGCCAGTTCCACACATCTTAGCTAGCTGCACTCGATTGTGTCCTGCAGTTTTCTGCACTCGGGGCTGAGCTGGTTGCCTCTACAGTGCTTCACGGAGAGAGGCTTGCTGTAAGCCAGCACATCCCTCACTGTGCCCGGATGCTGCTGTCCAAGAACCCAGCGGGCTCATCCCAGACTGAACGTGTGGGCTAGCAGGCAGACAGCCTGGAGTGCCTGAGTGCAAACTCAAACCTCAAACTAGCGTGACAGCACAGACGTAGCCTGTGGGGACTTTGACAATTCCACACCTTCTCTCTCAGCAGCCTTACTTCTCATAGATGCCTCTCTTTTCTCTCTTCCAAGCCCAGCTCAGTGCTATTTGGAGCATTCCCAATTCTAAAGAGATTCAGTCAGTAATCAAGTGGGATCACAAATGTGAGTCACAGTCTGTACCACTAGTTGTTGTTTGACCACCTCTGTTTCCCCACTGATCTCCTGACAAACCAGTCTCTTGGTGAGCAATGTATCATCCTCACAGTAGCTGACACAGCACTCTGCTGGAGTCGCTAGTCCATTCCCCACCCTGGAAGGATGGACTGTAGTATTCTTTCTTTGACCCTGCCTAACAGGGTATGTTGTCTCACCTTGCACATCACATCCAGGGAGATTCAATGACTTGTACCAGCAGTAACTGCAAAGCTGCCTAGTTTTCCCTGAAATTGAAGCTACATTTTCTCTGCTGTAATTGAGGCTTTTTGTTCCTTGTTCTACCTTCACTCAGTAATGAGAACAAACACATTGCATCCTTTGTAAAATCTCTTTAACTTATTAATAGGTAGCAGCTATGCCTTTCCCCCACCCATGCACCTTCACCCATGCTTTTATTTTCAGGCTGAATATGTCTCCATTCTTCTAGTTTTCCTTTGGAAGTTTTATATTCCAGCACTCCTAAGCAAGCGCTGATCGTAAGTACAGCGGTCCTCTGAATTTACTTCAGTTTTTTAACCATGTCCCAGAAACTCTAGTCTGGCAGAAACATTGAAAGATGACCTCTGGCAAATGATGTCTATGGTGTTTTACAAATCACCATTCCTGGCTGTTGTGCAGCTGCACAGCAGAGACACCCCCAAGAGAGGTTTCTTTAGAAAAGACAACAAACCAAGCAAAGCTTTAGAGAGAAAATGAAGTGGGAATATAAAGCTGAGAGAAGAAAGAGTCTCCAACTCATTATTTTCTTTGGCCATTAGTGCTGGGGTGGCGGGGGGGGGGAATGGCAGAAATGGATGTGGGGAGCATAGGGATGGGAGAGCTGGGGCGACTGGAGGGCAGCAGGGAATCACTGGCAAAGATGGTTTAAGTAAATTTGCTTCCTACACTAACACTAGGTATTGTATGGACTTCTAGTATTAAGCCTGTAAGACTGCATCTTACAGCTATGAAAAAAATTATTCAACAGAAAGAGGGCAACAACACAGTTCCATATTAGCCATCTATTCACAATGCCCAGTTTATGACCTCTGTCACCTTCCAGAGTCAATGGAGAGAAACAGGTACCCTAAAAACTGTGGCACCCCATCTCTCTCCAGGGGCAGACTCATGAAGATCAATCACCTCTTACAGTAGCCTAAAATTACCTACTGGCATTTCAGAATACATGTGACTATAATTGATTTGCTTAGTAGATGCATCCCTGAAGTCAAGCATCTATGTACATGCACTTCTGAAGAGAGCATGTTTTTTCATGTTCTGCTGAATGGACATGAGAAACCTGCAAATGGGTTACAAGGCTCATGGAGAAAATTTTGGCAAGAGATTGTATGAGATGATCAGTGATGTCTTCTCAGCTTTATTAATCTGTATATATATTTAAAGTTAAGTACACATACAAAGGCTTTGTTCAATCTGTCCCAAAACCTTGCTCCTGGCCCTACTGCCTCTGCGAAGGCTGTCTGTTAACCAAGATGCTATTCAATACTGGGAGCAGAATTTGTTCCTGAATGATTTGGAAGTACTCATGTCTGGAGTAGGGATAAATCTTCAGGACAACGCCTGACTCTACACACTCCTAATTATCTACATGCTGTGACATCTCAAGGAATCCTACCTTTTCAGACAGAATAAAGCTTATGTTTTTAGCTCCGTTTGTACTGGAGGAAGTTTGACCTTGGGTAAATATTTCACCACCTAAGAAAAGGTAAGGTCTGAGTGATTGCAGGTGAGACTGTTCTTCACTGCTTTGCTGAATACTACCAAGTTGTCTCTACAGACCAGTCTTTGAACAAGGTACTTAAGAAAAACTCTTCTTGCCTGAAAGTACCAAGGGACAGGGATCAAAAGAAACAAATGAACAAAAGCTTGCAAGTGAAAGACACTCAACCCTTCCTTCCAGAAGAAAATGTTGGGCTTACATCACATAATACAGATGGAAGCATGCCATATCCCAAATATACTCCCAGTTATTCATAAGGCACAAAGCAGAAACAGTTCTAGCCAAGCGGTGTTTAATGCATGTTTATTGCCTCTTTTCCTTGTTTAGACTTCTGAGAAAGTGTTTGGATGAGACTTGGAAAAAACAGATATCTAGATTTTCCCTCCCCACTCCCATTCTCTCTCTCTTTTGCTTTCTCTTTAAGTGCTCAAACACACACACACACGCACACACACACATCCTTCAAGTAGGCACACAACCCTGTTTCCCACAAACTGAGCACAAAGACAGACTCATGAGCAAAGGAAGTGTCTGCAGGAGCCTCATGTTCAGGTGCTGGCAGCACACTCCGGTACATCTGCAAGGAACTGTTTTTGTTCTCAATCTCTGACCAATCCCACATCTCAAATCTGAGGCTGTATTACCCAAACCCGGTAATGAAGCTGCCCTTTCAAGATGTTCCCATTTGTGCTATCTAGACAAACAAGTTATTTTCTTCAAAGCCCTAGCTTTATGTTAAAGGGATAGTGCTATAAACACTAACTGAAGTGGACTGAGTACAGCGTGAGCATCTGAGGAGAAAAGGGGTGCTTCTGTAGATAGGGAATCCTCATCAGTGTCTGTCAGGAAGAAATCAACAGGGTGATTAGGGCCTTGCCTTCCCTTTGGGTGGGGAAGTGAAAGAAAGTCATCACTGACCCCTAAATGAAAGAAAAAGATAGCTGAAGATGATAATGAGGTTGCCTTTGGCATGTGGAAGTCAA